TTTAGGTAAGTAGTATTTCAGACACACATAAAAAATATGCTGCATGGCCACTAAACATAATACCAAGTGCCCAATCTCATTAGTCATCAGAGGAAACAAATTAAAATTTCAAAGAAATTGCAATGCATACCTGGAGGTTAGCTAAACTAGAAATTATTAATGATAACTTCTGGAAGAATGAAGTATAATACAAGCACCCTTTATCTAAAGAAGGAATTACTAAGCCAAGGAATATTGCTTAGGGAGACATTCAGAATTCTCTCTTTAATTTGAAGATGTTCATATTCTCTAACTCACTGACTCCATTTCTGAATATAGCTCAAAAAGGCAAATATGCTAGCATAAACTAGTATATACAATACTACCACTGTTTATGAACGGTCCCAACTGAAAACCCAAATGTCCACCAACAACTCTTTTTATGAAAATAGAACATATTCATTTAATGAAACACTATGAAACAGAAATCAATCAACTAACTACAGTCATGTACATCCACATAGATGAATTTTAACATGAGCCAAAGTAGATAGTAACAAAAGATTATGTATTGTATAAGCACATTTATATAAAGTTAAAAAACAGAGACTTATAATACTAATAGCAGTCAAACACTCAAGAAAGGTAAGGGAAATTACTCCCATAAATATCAGGAAGTTACTTAGTAGGCAAGGAAGAAGGCTGTAATCTAAAAAGGGTGAGCAGATAGTTTCAGGAATCCTAGTAATACTTTGTTTCATAATCAGGACAACAGTCCTTTGATTTCCTTTTGAAATCAAAAGGAATTATTTATCAAAATTAAGCAATGCAATAAAAAGTTTTCAAAAATCGCCAAAAAAATATCGCAAAATTAAATCAAATAAGATATAAAAAAATCATTCAAATAATAGTATAGATGTGAAAGGATAAATCTCACCTTCATCTAAACACATTGTTATTAAATGCTATGATAAGAAGACTCTCACATGGCCTCCAAAGATCCTCCCCTCTTAGTATTCACACCTTCATGGAAATCCCTAATAAGTTTGGAATGGACTGATGATTTCTTTCCAACAAAGAGAAACAGCAAAAGTGTTCACTTCAAAAATGAAGTTGTAAGCCCAAAAGATGGTTCTTTCAGCAAAGGCACTTACGGCCATGCTTGATGACCTGAGTTTGATCCCTGGGACTCACATGGCAAAAGGAGGGACCCTATTCCCTTGAGTTGTGTTCTGACCCCCACATGCATGTGCACTACAGCCTGTGTGTGCCCCAATCTGCACCCCTGTGCACAAAATAAAATGTAATAATTTAAAATTTTTTTAATAACCTAGCTCCTTAGTCACTTGTAATAATTAAAACTGAAATATTTAAAATCATTCAATCACGGATACATTAAAAAATGTATGACTGACAGTATATGTACAGCTCTCTATAGGCTCCAATATCCAGAAGTACTTGGAATTAGTAAGTTTCTTGATTAACCTACCTATTTTAAGAAATACAGTACAGAGTAAGATCAATCACAAGGATATCAGATTCAAAATTAAGTTAAGCTGAAAAAGTCTCCAGCAGAATTCACCCAGAAGTTTAGTAATAGAAAACAGTACACATAGCTATGTGATTTACTGAAATAGCATAGAAGGCATTACTAGAAAACAAAAGCTACCAGAGAAAAGACAATAAGAATCATGGCTAAGAGTTACTGTTGGGAAAAAATTCCCAATTGAGTCCTCTGATTTCCTCACATTATAATAGTTTTTTATTTTATTATCTTAATTTTATGTGTATGAGTGTATTACTGCATGTGTGTAAGTACACCTATGTTGTACAACGACCAAGGAGGTCAGAAGAGGGCATTGGATCCCCTGGAACTGGAGTTACAAACAGTTGTTAGCTGTCATGTGGGTGCTGAGAATCGAACCTGGGTCCTCTGAAGAACAGCAATTGTTCTTAACTGCTGAACCATCTCTCCAGCTCCTAGAGTTACTTTTCATATGCTACCAAGAGCACATAATCTTGATTTTCTCATATTGTATACATGTATAAAATGACTGAGGAAATTTATGTGCTAAATTATAACATTCTGGTTATAATTAGTGAATACAAAATTGTCTTTTAGCTATCCTTCATAACTTAAAACTTTTCATGTTCTAATAGCTATCTTTTAACCTTTTTTTCTAACATGCATTTTTTTTCCACGGGAAAAATGGTAACTTCCATGTTTTATTTAAAATTTTTCTGCTTTTTTTTTTTATGATAACAATTCATGCTGATTCTAGTTTCTACTTTTTACTTCCTTCCGCGAAGCTTTGAAATTAATCACTATATAGTCTTGGCAGTGCTGTGGACTCAAAGGTTCACCAGGGTGTTGTATTGTATATGGCAGGGAAGCACTCTACCAATGAGCTATACTCCTAGTCCAAAAGGATCTTAAAAATAATGAACTGTAGCTGGTAATGGTGAGAGGGAGAAGCAGGCAGATCTCTGTGAGATGGCTTGGTCTACAAAGGAATTTCCAGGCCAGCTGGGGGTCTAGGGAAAGCCTTTTTCAAAACAAAGCAAGCAAACAAAAAATAACTAAAAGAAAAGGAGGGAAAAAGGACAATTTCCTGAAAACTCAAATGCTTTAAAATTAAAATATTTAAAGATTTTATAGCCTGAAATGCTTGTACCCAGTAGGAACAGTGAACAGAAAATTAAGCATAAAGGAGAACATAAGAAATATTATACCTCTCTCTTATTTCTTCTTGCAACCTTGAGGAATTCCATAAGGATCTGTAGTTGAGCTGCATGTGATTCCTACAATAGAAAATTGTAATTGTTCTTTAACAAATATAAAGAGTTCAAAGTTTTTGTCAACAAGAATACAACTGCTATTAAGTATCCACTTTAGTTTACTACTTATGTTTAATTAGTTTTCCCATCTGGTAGTTGGCTTTTCAAAAAACAAGCTAGTTTCTACAAAAATAAAAGAAGAAATTGCTGTTCTACACATTGGAAAAACAATTTATGGGAAATAGCTTCTTTTTCCCCAACCAAATTTAACACCAAGACAGAAATCACAAGAGACCCAAGGTAGTTTCTAGACATGAAAAATTCCCGTAAGAATTTCATTTGCAAGGGTAAGCACTAAGAAATAGGGAGACATTCAGACCTTTCAGTCTAGGCTCTCACAAGATTTGGCATATTAAATATTCACAGATGGAGGGAGGGGGAACTCAGGAGGCCTCTTCATCCCTGAAGACAGAGAAGCAGTAAACAACTTCTAGGAGGAAGAGGCTCTTTGTGGTATAGTTGTCCCTCCGGTGCTCTGGTAAACCCCTAGAAACTCACTCCCCAAGATGGACTTTAGTGGAATTGTTTCTTTGATGTGTGGCTGCCTTCTCTACTTAAGAGCAAATAGAAATAGGCTGCCCAGGAAGTCATAAAACACTTGTTCGTATAAATAGGAGAAATGCCATATTTTCATAGATTCTTATCAAAACTAAACCTTTGAAAACACACACAAAAAAAACCACGCATGCCTTTAATCCCAGCACTCGGGGGGCAGAGGCAGGCGGATCTCTGAGTTCAAGGCCAGCCTGGTCTACAAAGTGAGTTCCAGGCCAGCTGGGGCTACAGGGAGACCCTGTCTCAAAAAGACCAACAACAAAAAAGTGCATACCGATAGGACTGATTTCAAACTCTATTAGTGCATATCTCACCTCAACAATCAAAATGAAATAACAACGTTAAGTGTCAGTATGGGAATATTCCTTTCAGCACAGTTAATTCTTGAAAGAATCTGATTTTGAAATTTTCAGTACTTTGCTTAGAGTTTAAAAGAGAGAAGATGTTATGAGTAAATATATATTCTCAAAATATTTCATTTACTGTCCAGTAGTAATCATCCCTTAAGTTGTTCTCTGACTTATGCACAAGAACTATGGCATGCACTGCCCCCCTCCAAATAAATAAATGTAATAAAAACAAGTGGGGCGTGGTGACCCATGCCTTTAATCCCAGCACTCGGGGGGCAGAGGCAGGCGGATCTCTGAGTTCAAGGCCAGCCTGGTCTACAAAGTGAGTTCCAGGCCAGCTGGGGCTACAGGGAGACCCTGTCTCAAAAAGACCAACAACAAAAAGGGATGATGATGAATACTCATATTGATAACTGAAAGATAAAACTGAGATAAATGATTAAGTTTTGACCTTTACTGTGTATCAAACATTGAGAAAAAAAAATAATAAAAAAAGAAGTAGTCAGGCATGGTGGCACAGATGTTTAAGCCAAGCACTTGGGAGGCAGAGGTTGGTGGACCTCTGTGAGTTCTCAAACCAGTCTGTTTATATAGTGTGTTCTGGACCAGCCAAGGGCTACACAGTAATATCTCATCTCTAAACAAAACAAAAAAACCAACAAAACACACCAGGTGGCTCTAACAAGCACATGTTGAGTGTCAAAAGCTAAAAGCGGAACAGAGAGAAAGTTTATGAATAAATACAATTATTATTATTATTATTA